TTTTCGAATTTTTAATGAGCTTTAAATATTCCGACGCTTGGTACTAAAGAAATGTACGGGTGCTACACTTTTCAAATCCCTTATAGGTTTCTGTTTAATACTGATTAATACTGATTAATTAATTATTCTTAATTATTATATGGCGAGAATGTAACTAACGATTTCATTGGCTAAAGAGAGGGCCGTACTTTCGGGTACGGACCAGAAGAAACGAGAAAAACTTTTTAAATCAGCTAAAAATCTCGCATTCTCTCTTTTTAAACTGTTTTAATTTTCATTTTTCCCCTAGTTTCTCAGCCTTTTCTTTTTTCTTTTTATTTTGAATGACGAAAGAAATGTACCAATAAAACGTATTCTTATGTCCGATTCTCTATTAATTTTAGCTATTTTTCCCAAAAAACGCTATATAATGAAGATAAAATTAACCTCRCTTGGTTGAGCCGTAAGGGAAGTTGTGGAACTCGCTTTTTCCCCCACTTTTTTATGGCCCTCGCGCTACGCGCTCTTGCCATAAGTCAGCGGAAAAAACTCAGTCCATAACCTCTCGTACGGCCCTCGCGCTCGTTTCATAAGATATTCGTATATTGTCGAAAATGTGTTCTTCAAACGTGTATATTTGGCTGCAATGCCTTCTTAGCTGTGTGCAACGGACGTATCAGCTTTTGATTATTCGATGATTTCTGATGAATGTATTACCGCGAATGATGTGACATAACTCTAGACTTTGGGGCGAAGTGTTGGTAATTTAAATAAACTCTGAAACGGTATGAAAACTTTCTATTTCTACAACGAAAGACAAAAAAATTGAACTAAGATTAAATGAAATATGACGTACCTGGTTTAGGTTTTTCCATATAAACACTGTGCTCGTTCTCCTGGACATTCYYAGGCCGCAGTCTTCTGGTGTCGTTGTTGAACTGGCAATGAAAATTTTGAACGTCGAAGTTGATAGAMTGGCAAATACCGTCTTCCATGCAGGATAAAAAACAAGTACTCAGATTCATGTCTGAAAACGACTTATAAGAAAACCCTTGAAGTTCGATACCAACTTCAGTAGAAGCGAGAAGCGAAAATGCCTGAGATTTCACAAAGAGATRGCGACTGTAGTGAACAAACGAAAAAAASACAAAAATTGATGCACATTTTGCCATAGCTGTTATCCCGTTTTCTAAACCTTTTAGGAAAATCTGTTGAATTACACACCTGGATGGTGTGTGTTCTATAATGCTAACGGTAATATAAATTMAGAGAATTGCAACCTCCCTTGATGCCAAATCGTAACTAATATTTTTTCTCATAGTTTAGTCATGAACCTGCTGTGCTGTAAGTGTGCGATTTGCCAATTCAGCTATTTGATTTTTTTGTCATGAATTATTGACATAACAAACATGACGCCCTAAATCGTCTAAATGGAAAAGAAAAACAAGTCTATTTTCTATTTTGTAATATGTATTTAAACAAATAACAACCTTAAAAGGAGATGTCCAATAATATTTGGTTATTGTTTAATCATTATTAAGTTGTTGGAATCCTTCTCACTGAATATAATCCTTCTTCGCAGTGGTGATATACTAAGTATGCATCTTGTAAATATAAATTAGTCTCCTCAGGCCTTCTGTATCCCGTTTAGTTCTCTCTCTTTACACTGGAAAAATCGCGCGATTTAAAGGTTGTAAATTTGATGTAAATATGATGTAAGTGTCCAAAATTCTGTAAATTTGATGGGAATCATTTACATCAAATTTACAGAATTTTGGACACTTACATCATATTTACATCAAATTTACAATCTTTAATGCGMGCGATTTTTTCCAGTGTTATGTCTCTCTTGGTCTCTAGTATAACAGTTGCCAAAACAAAAACTACAAAACTGCTAACGAATCACGTAAAAAATTGCTGAAGAATCTATCTATCAACTAATTAATTATTAGTTKMRATGTTAGGGAAACGTAGTCTAATAGTTACCTTTAGAGTTAATTAAAGAAATTCAAAACTGATGACTTATGAATACTGCAGTGCTTCATATTTTCCAAAGTTGCATAAAAACATCAGAGTATAATTATATTTGAGAAAGATGTTTAGATGCGTGGAAATTTGAATCCATCTACTCTTTTCTCCGAAATTAGTACTTTTGGAAAAAGTAAGAACGTAGAACTAGTTTTTTCTCATGTAATCTATTGCCCATGTACAGTTTCTTGATGTCATTGTTTCTTTTTTGTATTGCCCCGAACGATTCATCTCTATTTTTCGTCTATTTTCACCCTACTTATGGTAATTAATTGTGTGCAAGAGTGGACGTGTTGTCTGGTAGTCTTTCAAAGGAGTATAAATTCATTCGAATATTAATTCCCAAATTTCGTTATTTTGTAAATCTCATCAGTTTCAAACCTCAATGACGGAATTTCGCTAGTATTTCTCTGCAAATTTCGAGACTGATTTGACTGAAGGTACGTCACACTCTTATTGTTTGAAGTCTCTCTAGGACTCTCCCGATACAAAAAGCACGAGGAGGCACTTTTCTGAACTTGAATCGCCTCAAAAACACACCTCTATTTCGATTTTTGAATTTCTTTTCCTCAAACCATATTTAATGATTGGTAAACTATCTTTAGGAAACATAAATAAAAATCTTTTATATGCACTTTAAATGAAATTTGGTGTACCTCTTTCAGGATTTTCCATATAAACACTGTGCTCGTTCTCCTGGACATTCCCAGGTCGTAGTCTTTTTGTGTCGTTGTTGAACTGGCAATGAAAATTTTGAATGTCGAAGTTGATAGACTGGCAAACACCGTCTTCCATGCAGGAGAAAAAACAAGTACTCAGATTCATGTCTGAAAACGACTTATAAGAAAACCCTTGAAGTTCGATACCAACTTCAGTTGAAGCGAGAATCGAGAATGGCTGGGATTTCACAAAGAGATGCCGACTGTAGTGAAAAAAGTAAAAGAGGAGAAGAATTGATGCACATTTTGCCATACCTGTTAACTCGTTCTCAACCTGGAAAATCTGTTGAATTACATATGAATGTTGTTCTTGGTATTATGCGACCGCAAATTTGAGAGAATTGCAGCCACCCTAGCTGGATACCAAATCGTTAATAATATTCTTTCTCACTGTGAAATGGTGATCTTGCCGTGCAACTGGTAAAGTGTGCGATTTGTTAATTCAAGTATTTCATTTTTTTGTCATGAATTATTGACAAAATAAACTTCTAATTAATATTTTTTTTCTTTTATAATATATATTTAAACACCAAAAGATATTTGTTATATGTAAAAAGGAGGAAAAGATTCAATAATATTTGATCATTTTTTCAGCACCAGTAAGTTGTTGGAGTTATTGTCGCTGAATATAATCCTTTTTGGCAGTGGTGATTATACTAAGTATTCATCTTGTATGCAAGGATTTCTCAAGTTGTTATTATCTAATCCTTCTAGAAATTTAGTATGTGATGAACAATAACCTGTCCATCACTGTTGGCTAAGTATTTTTTGTCTCAATATCATTTGTTTAAGATTAACCATATTCTTTTTCTCTGTTAAGGTGAGGTTACGTCTTAGTTTAGCTCCTGAAGCCAAGCTAAATAAATACCATTAATAGTTTAGCGTTATTATATCGAATAACAAACGAAATATCATGTAATCACGTTTATCTGACTCTCCCTTCTCGCCATTGCTTTCATATGGCACTTGGCGCCTCCACCAAGATTTACAGCTCATTGTTGTCTTTGGGCCCCCTTTAAAATTCTCCCCAGGCCTTCTGCATCCCCTTAATTTCTTTCTCTATAGTCGCCCCCATGTCTCTCTCGGTTTCCCTATCAGAGAAGCCCACACGAAGCTCGGAACTTCCTTTATAGAAATGCATATTTTACAGTCTTCTGGGGTAGGTGAAAAGAGGCGATGAGGTTTTTAAAAAAAACTATTATGTGAGCGATCGTTTCGGATTTGTTTAAAGAAACATCCGTCATTTAAAAATGATTTCTGATCGGTTGAATAAAAAAATATCAGGATTGCGAGGAGATGCGTTGATAGGTTCTCGGATGAGCGACAATAATGTACCACCTTGTCACAATGACGAAAGAGAGATTCCAGCGCACATTATTAACTTTGGTGGTCAAATAGCAGTTTTCTAACGAACAAACAGTTCCCAAATGTCCCAACACTAAGTGAAGGTTCGTTTTTGTCATCGCATCGAAATGTCGGACTTTTCCAATACAGGTTTTCACTTTAACGAATAAATATTTCCCAAATGTCCCCGACGTTGAGTGATCCATARGTAACTCCAGTATAGTCATCACAATTATATTTCTGGATGGAAAAGTAGTACTTCTCTTCCCATAACATAGAAGTGCTGTATAGTCGTGTACTTCCATAATTGGAAGATTTTCCCCATCGATTCACCTCTTTTCCACCATTATAACCCCATTTCAGGCAATTCCGTGCAAGAATCGACGTGTCATCTGGTAGTCTTTCAAACGAGTTGCATGCTGTCGGCCATGTTGCTTTGACGAGGAAGTGATCCAGTACTTTGTGTCCAGCGGTGTTGTTGGTTGTCATGATGTGAATGGTTCGGTTGATGCTCTTCTTACGACATCGAAATCGAAGCTGATGGAAACCCATGTCATTTCTTAAGTTTTTCAGTGCTGCTAATCTGATCCGTTGCCGGTAATTTGTGTAGCTTGCAAGGGACTTATACTCGTTTTCTAGTACAACTGATTGCGGAGCTGTAGTCGGCAGTTGTGCCCTCGTTATCAATGTCCAGCCTCCTAGTAAAAAAGGAAACAACATATATGGAGATGAAGTTCTCATCAAGCAGGCCAAACGGGTAGAAGTTTGTTTGTGTTTTAGGTATTTTGTTTTCAGTAATAACATACAAGGCTAATATTTAAGGATGAAGCAATGGTTCGAGCTGCGTTGAATAAATGTGCAATGAATATTATAGTCGCAGTAGAAATGATAATATACATGTACGCAATTATTAATAAATGTATGGAAGGCCCGTTATTTTTTTTTCACTGTTGAAGGGCTAAGAGTCATCTCACGAAATTCAAGGAGCTTTATGACATGACATGTGAACTTGGATGTATGACGAACCGCGTCGTTTATGCATTATGGGTAATATGCAAGATCTCTCATCATCACTGAAGAAAAGCTAATGATGAAGCAGCGAGACTCATTACAGTCAAAAGACA